CAAAAACTTGTAAGAATTTCGCAAGGAAAAGAATAAATAGAATTTTATAGCACCTATTTTATATCAGCAAATTCAACTGATTTTGCCGCTATTGTTATTATTAATTAATAAAATTCATTTGTGGTTTTAAATAATACAAATAATTTGACATACCTGATGTGACAATAACTGTTTAAAATTTTGTCCACCGACGTATAAACACATTTGGGTCCGTCTTACTCAGTTTCTACGAACTAACACAAATTCTGTTTTGTTTCACCATAACACAAATACTTCACCATAATACAGATGTTTTCTTGCTTCACCATAAACTAAAACAATATCCATCAATTCCGAGTTGCTATACACGCAAGCCATTTATGACACTAACTACTAAAAAACTTTTAAACATCGGATTTCAGTATTCGGAGTCGCTGAGGCCACGTGGCTCTCCAGGCGTATTACGAATGACACTAGAGACTACAGTTGTCCAGCTATGTAATGGTTGAAAGCATTACAGCTTCAATAATTTTTTCTCGGAAACTATAAGGATTTTACAAAAGTTTTTTTACAATATTGACTCCATTTCTCATGCCGCATCTATTCCCAAATTTTTTTGGATAAGTTGTGAATCACCCTGTATTATTTCTGACTTATTTGTCATAGTACTTTTGTAAATGAATAACTGTTACTTAAATTTTACGAGTAATAAATGAACGGTTCATATAATAGACGTGTTACTAGTATTTATTATGTGTATTACATTTGAGTACCAATGAGGGTATATTCCAAACGAACATTTAGAGTACGTTTCCTTATTTATTTTTTCATTTAAATATTTCTTGTCTTTCGTTATAAATATATCCAATGGTATTGGTACACTGACAAAAAAAGAAAGAGTAGCTCGAACTTAGGAAAACTGGTTTGTTTTATTTATCTTTAGAGTAATTGAACTTGCTAGTCGAAATTCTTAGGCAGTCTCTTGTAGAGGCTATTTTTATCTGGAAATTTTTTGTCTTTATGTGCACCTACAGGATGGCCCATTAAACACCATTGTGATATTTTTTTAATGTTTCGATTACATTAAACCGGTGTCTCGGTTGTTAAAGTAATATTTTTATTATTAATACTCCAATATATTATTTTTTTCTATACAGGATGTTTGTTATATCAGGCTCTATCGTTCCTATTATTGTACTACTTGTCTCTACACGAACCTCTGTCAGCGTAAATGTGGTACTTGTAACAAATGAGGCCACGTCCCTAATAAAGCTATAACCTCGCCATCTTCGACGAAGGTCAAGGTCAGGCCAGGTATGTTAGACTTGGTCAATGGACACAGTCGGCTGAACATGTCACAGTTGGACTGCGTACTGCATCTGTAGAAAAAAATCACCTAGCTCAACACTTGAATAGACTAGTTTTTATAAATTTTTAGAATAGTTGCTAGTGAAGGTTCATAAAATAATTTAAATTGCCTAAAGAAATATAAATATATATAAAGATATATTATGTATGTCTAATATCGGTGTCAAGTTTTTCAAATATTTTTTTGTTTTTTTTATGTTTAAGGGATGATTTCACCCCTATGAGCGTTGATTTTTATAAAAAAAAATTTGGAATAATTAGGTCAAGTCAGCTTAATCTTTCTGATCAGAAAAGTAAGATCTATTATAAAATATTCGATAGTTTTTGTATATCGCTATGATATTTTCGTATGTTATCACGTTCGGGGGTAGTTCACCCCTTCGTTACAGGGGTGGTTTTCTTATAGATACTAGAAGTACACGATTTGAATTTCTAACAATTTAGAATATCCTAGTACTTTTTCCTAGATTTTTCAAGTAATTTTTTATTTTTTCCGTATTTAGGGGATGATTTAAGCCCCTTGGCGAATTTAAGGGTGGACTTACAACTATATCACGCCCTCATTAATCATGAAAATAAATTATTTCCTATTTATAAGATTTTATTTTATAGAAAAAATACAATAAGAATTGCTTTTATTTTTGCGTCATCATATCAACCCCTAATTAGGGGTGATATTCGACATTTTTCGAAAAACTAAAAAATATGCTTATCTTGATTTTTCATTACCAATAATTTGACATATGCAGAATATTTTTAGGATTTTTTATAAGGTCTCTGCAAGGGTGAGAAAATAGGCTAAAAATATGCTGATTTTGCGGTCACTCTTTGTCCAGTTTGTAAGTAATGACATTTGTCCCTGTTTCACCAGGAATATAACTTTCATAATTAAAAAAGTTAAGACGACGTCATAAAATACGATTCAAAAACATCCTGTATCACATGAACGAATAAAAATGTAATTTTATTCTCAAATTGAGATAATTAATTTTTGTTTAAAATAATAGTTAACACTTATCTAAGACTTTTCGATATTTAAAAGAAGTTCATCCAAAACAACCCCTTTACTTGCCCTTTTAAGGCAAGTTGTTATTTAACGGTTTCTAATATAATTTTTTGTTTTTTATACTGTGGCGAAAACCCAATTAAAGGAACGTTTTATTTTATAAAATACAGTAAATACAGAGTGATTTAAATAAATGTCCCTTCCAAAATACTACAAATATTTTTGAAATAAAAAAGTATGTACTAATAAGTACCTAGTTAAATAAAGTTACATGTTTTTATTAAAAAATATATTGTTTGGTCGTTACTTTTCAATTAGTTATTCATTTGTTTTTTTCAATTGCAATATGTAATCGAGCTCCCGTTCAAAAGTACTTAACTGATTTTTTCGTTTTTTTTTCGCGTCTCTAGCAATTAAATGGCTTCAAGGTGTCGCCTCAGCTTTAAATAGAGGCAGTGACATTGCCCATCGTATAAGCGTAGTATGCGCTCAAAGATGGGTCCAGAAGTGTTATTTTTTTTTATATCATCGATGAACTACGAGGTTCGCTCAGAAAATAACTGAACTCTTCCCAGCGGTGTTTCTATTTCGCGGAGCAGCCCTGGAAGTCCTGGATAGCTTCATTTGAAATGAACTTTTATGTCTGTGACGAATTTGGTGTGATCAGTAGTCTGAACACGGAAATAAGATATCGACAATCGAATGCCAAAAAATGTTCGTATTCCTCTCATTTTGTTATATCAAATTAAAAAAAAAATCGTCTTGATAAGTGCTACCGTTCCCGAGAAAAGTCATCTTTTATCGCGTATACGCATTTTGAAATCTATGCGGCGCGCGGCAACGCAGCTGCTCTCAGTCATCCCCACTCCCGCTCTGCCAAAAAATTCCTGTGACCACGGTACCTTTCTTGATTTTTCTTTCATTAAGTTTTTATCTGCAAAAAATGCACTAGACGGATATTGAAAGTACTTGTAGTTAGCTATAAAAACATACATATTTTATTTTTCTCGACTTCAAGATTACGTAAGCCATAGGTCTATATCTCAGAATTTATACAGTAGAATGCTGTCGTATTTGGCTAAAAAGCAAGAGGTTACGACGTAGTTTTTATGTGTGCAAGATTTTGTCGATTGCGTAGAAAATTCCCTGGGCAATAAATAATTGTTTGTGGAGTAAAATGTTGAAAAATTCTAACTGGTTATAAATAGGTATTTTTAGTATTGATCATTGTATATTATGATAAGTATCTCTAAAAAATCGTGTGCCCTTTCAAAACCTTAATTTAAACCCACAGTACGCGATAAACTTTTTGAAATTTTCTTAATTAACAATCCTGTCAATCGAAAGCTACGCTATCGATCGTTGCAAAATTTTGAGGGAGAATTGACATATGTTTTACAATTTGTTCACAAAGTTTTATCAATATTTACTTATTTTAAAAATTGCTCCAAATATACATGATTTTCTATTCTTCGCCCATTGTTAATGCAAAATTCAACTTTTTTTGATTCGCAGTTGTAACTATAGAAAATCCTCAAATAAACAAAAAATAAAGAATGACTTTTGGTTTAGGCCTTACATTCAATGTTACAGGGAAAATATGTCGAAAAAACGGATAATTTTTCGTTCTTTTTGCATGTTTGTTGTTCTCTTGAATTTAGCAATGGTCTTTTGGAATAGGCAAACTCGGATTCTTATTCTACATAGTATTTGGGATTGTTCTGTACAACAAAATAGAAAACAAGCGCCAAAGCCTACTTTTACTCCCCTATCGCCTGGACTATTATAGCCCCACAGAAAAGATTTGTAACTGATGATATTGCGAGAAACAACTATTCTATGGGTTACAACGTACCTCAACTTGCACTGAATTATAGCAGTAATAATTAATAAAACTGGCTAAGTAGATATTAAAAATAAGTCTAAATATTATTAATTCAAAACACCTACCTGACATATTTTTTATATAATAATATTTAGGTATAATTCAATGCCAGTAGTCCAAAGAGTAGTAGTTTCCCGCAATTTAAGAATCTTAGATATCTTTTGCATATCTAGACTTTTGGTATCGAAGAACATTGTTTGATTTCATTTGATAGGATAGATAGAAAAAAATTATTTGATTAGCGTAATACTACTTAAATAATGTTAAAATGTTGAAATATGAGTTGACATTAGATTGCGATAGAACCGCAACTCAGAATTTTATTTGGAGGCTTGTAATAAGTTCAAATGCTTTATGATAGGTTTTTCTTAAAATCCGTCGTGAAAAGGGAATTTTGATTTCGAATTCCCATTAACAAAGAAACATTTGTTCATACTAAAGCCGTTCCATTTTTGTTAAATATATTGTTAACTACAATGACGCAAAAGCTTAGTCCATACTGACATTGTATTCGTCATCTTGGAAGGTTGTTGTCAACATGAGCTGGAAAACAGTTCCATAAAAGTCTCAAGCAGTCCTTCCGCGAAATGTGACTCAATTTAGCTGTAATGCCATTCATGCTAGCCATCATTCGCACTTCTCTGCATTTATTTTATGAAGTATGATTTTACGCAAACTCTCGTCGAAGTCGGGTTCCACATTTTCCACCACCACCTGTACACGGATCGTGCCGTATGATTTCACCAGTACGCGAGTTGCGAGGTTGCGAGTACAGTTAGCACTGTTGACGGTTGTGCTGCTGTCGGCCAGCGCGGTTATTAACCGAAGCAATCAAGATTTTCGGCGGTGCTTCTCTAATTTTATCGTATTGTCTTACGTTGTTTTAAAGCTGTTCGAAGACGTGCTGTTTTTTTACATAACCCAGTCCTAGTGTGCTGGGTGCAGTGTGAATCTTGGTGCTTTGACATTGTTTTTAAACTTGTTCTTTATCGAAGACATATTCTCCTTTGTCTCGCTTCCACTACGATAACAGTTTGTGGTAAGTACTTATTTCTTGCTCGGGAGGCTTAGAACTCTGTGTTTATCCTTTTAATTTACCTTTCTTTTATTGTTATATAAACGAGTAATTTAAAGTATTTAAAAAGTATTAAGTTTTTATGTTTGTACGGCATTCTTTAGTTATTGTTCACTCGGATGTTTTTAGAAGGAAATAGCTAGATTTAAAAGAATTAAAGGTTTTATAGTTTTTATTTACATTAATTATAAAAAGGTTTTTGAATATCTTCAGGGAACTTGGGAAAGTATTGAATTGCGTTTGTTTTTCCCCCTTTTTTATTTACTTACGTAAAGCATTTTACATAACTTTTAAATATACTAGTTACTATATTTTGGATTGATGGAATTTTGCGAATGTCTATAGATTTTCAATTGGTGTCTAAGCCATATGGTAACAAAATGACATATTTGACATAAACCATTGACTGTTAACATATTATTTCCTAGTTAAAAATAGTTGTATGTTATTTGTTACCACTTCAATAAAGGACTTTTTTTTAAATAAATGTTTTGCAAAAAAATATTCTAGATTTTTGTTTTGTTTTATCCTATTCAGTAAATAATAACGAAACAGTGGAAAATTTATTATATTTAAATTAACTTGTTTTCCCCAAGCTTTACTTTTTTCATTGTCGTAGCCGTTTCAAAATTACGTGTCAGATTTGTGTAAAATATTGCCATATTTTAATTCTGTGGATAAAAATATATACACAACATGTAGTTATAAATAAGTATGTATAAATTCACGTCTACGATAAGTAAATATATGACAGTCAGTTTCCCATTAAGTATACATACAAAAAAGTTTTATAGAATTGAAAATAATTGTATCTATCCGAGTATGTATCTATCTAGAATTATGTCAATATGTCTAATTAAAAATTTAGATTACTTAAATTTTCTTAACCGGTCTTGGTACCTACTGTAAAAGCATCTGAAAAATTTGTGTTGTATTTTGGTATCTTCATAGTTTTGTTTTTATTTGAAATATTTGATATTTATTTTGATGTCATTATTACTTTTCATTATAAAACCTGCTTATCGTCTTAATCTCATTTATTACACATTTTTGTAAAGATATTAAAATTAGAAGTTTATCTGATATCAGTAATTATGATGTATCTTAAAACAAATACATAATGTTTTATTGAGGAAATTCAAAAACTTATTTTAAATATGATTGTTTTCTATTTTTAATCATTCATTATAAACCTTTTACAAGGATGTATTACGATTATATGACCTTTAGAAATAACCTTTATTGTTTATTTATAAAAAACATTTTAGTATGGGTATTTAAATAAAATACATACGTCCGTCTAGTTCGAAGACTAATTTGGCATATTGCTATTGTTACTTACATACTTACATCATATTGTATACAGGGATGGCCAGAAGTACGGAATAAAATTAATATCTTTTGAATGAGTTAATTTTTTTTAAAACGCCGAAACACGTTAACTGATCTTGATTTTTTCCCATCTTTCGGTTATATAATAATTAATTTTTCTTCAACCCCCTAACCCCCAGCTACCCCTACTTTTTTTTCAAATGGAAACATAAGGCATGAGGGGGCTCGTTGAAAAGCTTATAGAAAACCGAATCCAGCCATACCAAATAAACAAGTTTTATTTTTTCAATAGCAAGGTTTTTAGGGTTGTATAAAACACCTACTTAACAAGTGAAATAAAATTTAATTATCTTCAGTGTTATCCTCCATGAATTTGCACAGAATAAAATAAAGAATTTGAAACTGTACCTATCACTGCTAACGCAAAAAAGATATATTTTTTATGTTGCGTTTTTTTGGTACCACTTACTTGCCAGGCTTTCTGGTTAATTTTTCGCTTTAGTTGTAAATTGGAGTTCGAAACGTTACTATTGTGTCAAAATCAAGTTATTTACTGAATTGCAATGGTATTGTCGGAAAGGCAACGCATCGAAATCTTGATATTGCTTGGATGTGGAGACAAAATAAGAAGTCAGGCTGAAGTGCGCGATTTATTTAATGCGAAATATCCCGAAAACCAAATCTCGCAAGGGACAGTTAGTAAAATATTTCACAAATTTGAGGAACACGGTACAGTACAGACTTTGCCCAAAACTGGACGGGCACGTGCTTTGAATGAAGAAAAGAAATTAGACATTGCATTAGAACTTGTTGAAAATCCTCATACTTCAACTGTTTCATTGGCCCGCAATCACGATGCTTCTCGAACTGCAATTCGAATGTTTCTGAAACAAGAGAAATACCACCCCTATAAGGTATGTCTTGTCCAAGAGCTTTTGGAAGACGATTATGATAGGCGATTACAATTTTGTGAGGAAATGATGAGACGGTGTGACGACAATAATGGTTTTCAACGAGACGTACTTTTTTCGGATGAAGCTACGTTTTATTTAAATGGAGTGGTTAACAGGCACAACTATCGCTTTTGGTCCCAGGAAAATCCACACTGGACATGCGAATCGCATACGCAGCATCCACAAAAAGTTAATGTATGGGCAGGTATCATCAACAACAGAATCTTGGGCCCATTCTTTTTTGAAGAAAATCTTACTGCCGCACGCTACCTGGATTTCCTAACATTTGACCTGATACCTGCTCTAGCTGTGATTTTCCCTCATGAAATTGATCCAGATATACCGAATGAAAGAATTTGGTTCCAACAAGATGGCGCTCCCCCACATTTTGGTATTGATGTTCGAAGATACTTAGATGAAATGTTTCCAAATCGCTGGATTGGTAGACGGGGTACAGTTGAATGGCCGCCAAGATCCCCCGACTTAACACCCCTGGATTATTTTCTTTGGGGATATTTGAAAGAAAGAGTCTACCAGGACAGACCGGATAATATTGAGAATTTAAAGAACAAGATTAGGGCGGAGATGCATAATTTACCAGCTGAAGTCATTCAGAATGCTGTGGACAGCTTTTACTATCGTCTTGGAGAATGCCAAATAGTGAATGGAGGACATTTTCAGCATTTGCGACATTGAGTTTATTTTTGTAAATTATCTAGTTGTTTCAATTTCTAAATGAAAAAAAACTTGTTATTGAAAAAATAAAACTTGTTTATTTGGTATGGCTGGATTCGGTTTTCTATAAGCTTTTCAACGAGCCCCCTCATGCCTTATGTTTCCATTTGAAAAAAAAAGTAGGGGTAGCTGGGGGTTAGGGGGTTGAAGAAAAATTAATTATTATATAACCGAAAGATGGGAAAAAAATCAAAATTAGTTAACGTGTTTCGGCGTTTTAAAAAAATTAACTCATTCAAAAGATATGAATTTTATTCCGTACTTCTGGCCATCCCTGTATACTAGGTATTTGTAAATTCGTTGTGATTGTGTTTACATTTTTTGTTTGTACTATACAATTAGTATTCAATTATCACTGGAAAAGAAAGGGAAAAATTGTCCTCACCACAGCTGACCGCTTTTAGAAAGTTACCAGAACTAGGAAACATTTCTCTATGCCCATGCATAATAATAGTTTGGGTGTGACGGTTGCATCAATATTTTTGTTTATTTATTTACTACTACTGCTTTCCCCGGCCGGCTTGAATAAAACATGTTTTGTCTCAAATGTGTAACATGTGTTACGAAATGTAATTTCACTGGTTTTATTTTTAAATAATTCAGGAATGTTTCGTTTTTATCAATATTTATGTCAGAAGTGTTGTTATTCGAGATTTTTTAATTGCGTCTTATGTTTTTTTTTAAATAATTAGGACTCAGTTTAAATATACAGGAAAAAAATCAATCAAGACTAAAAACAACAGTGCAATAATCTTATTTTTTATTATTTCCTTATTTGTATTCATTTATTTCTGAGATAGGGTCAACTTTCCATTTCTAATGACCGCAATATTCGAATTTCAATTGTTTCCGTGGCATTCGTAATAAAAAACATCAAAGGCTGTTCGTTTAAAGTTTGCATATATCGCTTCGTTTTAGCCAGAAATATTTATGTGAGTCGTTACGATTGTTTCGAATTGATAGGTCGGTAATTTTTCACGGCTTTTTCACATTTTGAACACTGAAAATTTACATTTACATCTATGCTTTGCTATACAGCAGGTAATCGGAATAAATCTGTCTTGAATTGTGATTGTTTTTAGCATTTATATTGCTACGATAGAAGCTTTTACATTACACAGAGTGTTTCATGGTGAACTGTACACACTAGTAGCAGAGCGAGGAGATCTAGGCTTGATCACATAGGAAAAGCTACCTTTATAGAATTTTTGATTATTTTATATAACACTAAAAATATATAATAGGGACTCTTCCAATGCACCAGGTTAAGAAACATATTTTAGGACTTGTAAAATTCATAAAAGTACATTAGCAAGTCGTGATACTGTTACTACTGGTTTTATGAACCTGCATATTTAATGCTGTTTGTTAATAGTGAATTGAAGTATGAAAATATTGACTCAATTTCTTCTCTAGAATTATATTGAAAAACTGATGAAAAGTGCAGCGAAACGTTGTTAATTTAAAAGTTAGGAAAAGTGTTACTTTCATTATAATACACGAAATAGAATATAATGTAGGTACAAGATGAACTTTTCGTAGAGACCACAAAAGAATAATAATTTCCCCAGTACGGGTACACAACCATTTGTTTGGCATGTCTTCGGAAAAATATGGGAAATTAATCGCCGAAGACGCATTATTCTCCACCAGGACAATGCGAGCTCTCATACATCAGTTCAAGCAAGAGGCTTTTTGAGAACTGAAAAAGTCTAATTGAAGAGTTATCCCCCGAACGAAATACGAGGTCAATGTTTTTGGATGCCTGAAGAAGCGGTTGATGCTTTCACAATGCTTATTTTGAAAGTACCTCAATCGGAATGGAAAAAGTGCTTCGAAAATTGATCAAGCGCAAGCAAAAGTGTATTGATCTTCATGAAGAATATTTTGAAATATAATAAAGCCGATGATTAATTTCTTTATTTGTTCTGTATTCCCGAAATA